GATCCGCTAACTCGTACTTGTTCTAAGTATAGAACGAAAGATCGGTGACCTAAATTACGCTTCCTTAAGCGCTAAGCTACGGCAGCCCCGCTGCAGGTTCAGCAAAAAAGAAAAGTCGAGATACAAGTTCAAACTCTCCGAGACCCTTTCTGATACTGGTAAAAGCTATCCCATTTTAAAAAGGGTCTATCACCGAAGTCTTCTGTTTGAAGATTGCGCTGATAATCCGCCTGAGATATAACCCTATTTATGTCAACTTAACCTCGCATAAGCAACCACACCGTAGTAGCCATAATGTTTCAGCCGGCATGTGATTAAGGAGTTTCTAAGGAATCCAACCACGGCATTAGATTACCTGTCGAACAGCAGTAGGTAAGCAGGCATTGCATTCAGTCTTTCGTCAGTCAAGTATACAATTAGTTGGTGCTTGCTAGAGACGTCAGCGTATTAAGCGTGTCTAGCTGACAAGAAGAAATATATGATAAGCACTTGTATTGTTTCCCCACTGTCTATAAAGATTTGGCATCGATGGCTACTAACCGCAGAGAGGTTGCCGTGCACCTCACATAGATAAAGATTTGACTTTTTGAGCTTGCGTTAACAGGGTAAGAAGAATAAATTTGTATGTCACTCCTCGAAGCGAGCCTAGAATAATCGTCTTGTTACTTCTAAGAGGGATATATACATATGTATCTACGAGTGCATTCATTCATCTGGCAAGTGAAATAGCCATCTCACAACAATCGGTAGCTTACATTTACCAACATTCAGCTTGAAATCCATATTTAGAGACAAATAAAGATTTCGCGAAAGCCGCACTGATGGGCAACACTTTGCCTTCCGGAAAGAAGTTTCTGTACTCGGACAATGACTATCAGCTTGCTATTGAGGCCTCTAAAGAGTTGGAATATATTTTAGAATCGGAATTTCAAGCTTATGGTCAAGGGCTACACGAGAAAGTTTCATCTATTGAGAGGGCGATCCCCGTGCCGACAATTCGATCCATCCGGTACGTTGCGACATTGCGCAATCGGCTAATTCACGACCGAGAGATGAAAGCGCTACCTGATCGTCAAGCTTTTATCAAGAATTTTGACAATGCTATGGCCGAGCTTAATATTCTTATTGACAAAAAGCGGCTAGACACACATGGTACACCTGCTACAGCTCCAGGATGCGTGATTTCTTAGCTAGAATATCCCTTCTATCCCCTCTATTTCGAATTTTTATCCTACTTATTGGCTTGAAAGGCCTCAATTTGATGCGTCAGTGTTGTGAGATACTCGTTACAATCTTGTTGAGCTGTAAATGGAGAGCACATCATGTACAAGACGTTGCCTAACGCGCGAGCATATATGCCATTTTTTCGCAGGATTTGAATAAGCTCAGAAGCTTCAGTTGAGGCGTATCCAGCGCTTTCTGACGCTAGCTCTATACACGCCACAGTACCGATAGCAAAAGTGCGCTCAATGTAAGGACGTGTCGACAACTCAGTCAACTGTTCAATGTTCCAGTAGATGCGCGTTGCGTCTGGAGAATAATTTCTCGACTTGCTGAGAATCTGGTACATGTCCAATGCTGTCACTGCAGCTGCACATCCAACAGGATATGCTGTGAAGGAATGACCATGCAGCAAAGCTTCACCCTTCGAATCAGCATAGAAAGTGTTAAACACATCTTCTGATGCTAGTGTAGCGGCCATGGGAACTACACCACCTGTCAGTAATTTAGCATAGCAGGCAATATCTGGGTCGACACCAAGCAAATCACGTGCAGACTCAACACCCAATCGCCACCAACCTGAAAATACTTCGTCATAAATCACAGGAATCTTTCGAGCTCGACATTCGTGTACGAGTATACGTTGGTACAGCGGATCAATTAAGTACATGCCACCTGATCCCATCAGCACAGGTTCAATCAATGCAGCACCCACACAAATGTTCTTTTCTTCGGTATTGTCGATCATTCGAGCGATATATTGGCGATAAATGTCTGCTAATACACTTTGATCACGTGTAGCATCAAATGCAGCGTGAAGCGAGCCAAGTTTTTCAGTCTTCGTGTTGCCGGCGACTTCGAAATCGATAGAAATCACATATTCACCATTTTGAAGAGCTATGGTCGGGACCTTAAGAAATACGCCTTCGGGACGATACCACGGATGCTGCTTTTCATTAAATACACTTTTTTCCGCAACATTCATTACACCAAGCGTGTCGCCATGATAGCAATTAGCCTGTGCAAGTGTGACCATCTTACTGCCAGTTGCAGAGTCTGACAAAAAGTCACGATAGTTTAACTTGTGGTCAAGTACGTATTTTCGAAATGCCATCTTTAGCGCCACTTCAACTGCTGTCGAGCCATCATCGGAAAAGTACACGCGCGAAGCCCATCCTTTACCTACTGTTGCAAGCAATTTCTCACTAAGCTGTAAAGCTGGTTCGTGTGCGTTTTCAGGAAACATGACGTGGCCGTAGCGACCAGCAGCATACGCCAAAGCCGTCACCATTGTGGCGTTGCCGTGTCCAACTCCTTGTGTCCACCAGCTCGCACACGCATCAAACAATGGGTCGACAGTGTTCGTTTCTGGACGATATACACTAAATTCATCGCCGTACGCTGAATCAATTATAGACAGACCACCAGTTTTCTTGTGTTGTGTGAACGGCCACCAAAAAACTTGCTCAGCGCGCTCTTTCATGTTTTTGAAGCGATCGATTCGCAACTTGTGAAAGGATTTTAGCCTTGCGCTTACATCAGCAAACACCTTGTCATGTTCTTCGAACCATTGGTGTAATGGTTCGGGCATGGGCGGAATAGCATTCATCGTAATGATCGGAATACCAAGCTCACTCGCACGCGGCATCAACGCTGCCTTGTTGTCCAAATTGTCCTGCTCAATTAAGCAAATTGCAGCTACATCGAAGCCGCGAATCAGCAGCGTTTCAAGTGCTGACATGGTCGTCGAAATCCCACCAAGCTTTCCGTCACCAACTAGAATGACGGGCAGTCGCAGACTACGATACACGTCAACTTGAAATCGTGTAGATGCCGAAGGACTACAGACACCTCCTGCTGTCTCTACTAGCACTAAACTGTCTACACCATTCGCTCCATTCATCTTGCTAATTGACTCGAGTTTATCGGACAACAGCTCAAGCAGCTTCTCATCTGTAATTGTATGTCCTTCCATCTGTGCTGCAAGATGCGGTGATACAGGATTTTTCCATGAATAAAGAGTCGAGCATTGAATGTCTCCCTGACTTTGGTTCTGAGCTACTGCGTACTTCTCAACGAAGGCTGCGTCTCCAGCAAACGACCCAGAATTCTCGTAATCAGTACCAGTCTGAAGTGGTTTGATGTAATCGACGCGCCCATTTAAGCTTGCTACGATGGCAGCACTGCGACAGATACCGGCAGATATAATGGTCTTGCCAATGTCCGTATTACTGCCAAAAACTTGAAACACTGGCGTGTTGAGACACAGAGCACCAGCTCTTTTTGTACGCATCTGTTGTTTTCTCTTTGTAAGACTGTCAGCATCTAATTGTGTCTCATGCACTCCAATGTGGTAGCAAACAGAGGAGACGGTGGATCGCGATCCAGAAGCGCGACGGCGAACGAAGGTCTTCGACAGCATCATTAGTGATTTATATCATTGTCAATATATATAACCAATACGAGGGTATGAGGTATCTTAGGATCAGAATTTTCACAAAATTGTCAACACAATATTTCGTGATTATTTAAGAAAGTTCATTGTCAAGCTGCACCACATAATAGTCAGCACTACGTATGTCAACAGGTACGTCGAGTCTTCATGTTCAATGGCAGGAATCGTTTTTGATGCCATGCATTTTATATTTGTGCTCTATGTATATAGTCAAGGACATTGCAAGCGAACTACCGCGCACGAAACTTTTTCTGCGTGGCAAAGATGGTATTGAAGCTTTGTGGGGTCCCCCAACTTTTAGCAAGGACGAGGTCAAAATTGAATGTGATCAGAACTTTAAAGCGATGGGAAAAGCTGATCTTATGGAGTTCACAGAAGACGGAAAGCTAGTAGTGCTGGTGCGCACCACCTCTGGCTTTACCGTGCACAATGCAGACACAGGCACAGTCGTGATTGAAGTGGCCAATGCTGGTATTCACGCTGTAGCTTGGTCACCTCTTGGCTCACAATTGCTCACGTGGCAGCGACCTCAAAAAGACTCTGATCTTGGCAATCTCATCGTCTGGGATGCCGCTACGGGCAGCGAAGTCGCTCGTTTTAATCAAAAATCCTACTCTCGTGATGTAAGTGAACAAACCGATCTGATGTTATTATAATCAAGGAAGATACTAACAATTGTTTGTTTGATTAACGTATCAGAAATGGCCACCATTCCAGTGGTCTTCGGATGAAACAATTTGTGCGCGTCAGAGTGTTAATGGTATCGTACTGTACAACGGTCGTGGCCCTAAATTGGACTCAATCGGTCAAATTCATGTACCGGTAGGTGGTTTGTACGTTGTAGATGAACTGGTGAGTTTGGGTCACTAACTTCTTCTATTTGTGTAGAATGTAGCAAACTTCAGCGTAGCACCTGGCAGCGTTCCGTATAAGATAGCAGTGTTTGTTCCAGAAAAGAAAGGAAAGCCTGCAAGCGTCAAAATTTACCAATTTCCAAATCAACTGGACGTTCCGACGGCGACAAAAAGCTTTTACAAAGCTCAGGACGTGTCGCTTAAATGGTCACCCACTGGCAGCGCGTTGATTGTTGAAACACGCACGGATATCGACACATCAGGCAAGTCGTACTATGGCGAGACGGGTCTCTTTTTTCTTCAAAGTGATGGGGAATACGATTGCATTGTACCGCTTACGAAGGAAGGAACCGTGCACGACGTGGCATGGGATCCTACGGGTCGTGGCTTCGTCGTGATAGCTGGTGCAATGCCTGCACATGCTACGCTGTACGACAATAAAGCTTTGCCCATCTTTGAGTTTGGTGCGGCACCTCGAAACCACATCAGCTGGAGCCCACACGGAAGATTCTTGTGTCTTGCCGGATTTGGAAATCTCCGCGGTGACATGGACTTTTGGGAGCGAAATAAACTAAAAAAAATTGGTTCCGCGACGTCTAATGCTGCAACAACTTTCGATTGGTCTCCTGACAGTCGCTACTTTGCGACAGCCACAACGTTCCCGCGTTTGCGCGTTGACAACGGCTTCAAGATCTTTCGTTACGACGGGACAGGTCCGATCCACCACGAAGAGCGTAGTGAGCTGTATGATTTCAAGTTCCGTCCAGCAACACGTGATTTATATCCAAACCGCCCTCAATCTCCACGTCGCAAAGGAGATAAAGTGGATTTTGGTACATCCACTCCGGAGACCGCACCCAAGCCACAAGCTTATCGTCCGCCTAATTCGACAGGTGCACTTGCTGCAATGATGCGCAAAGAAGAAGGAGGTTCTCGAAAGCTTGATCCCAACAAATATGTAGCTCCTCGTCCTACTGCTTCAGGTGCTGTTTCTCGTCCAATTCCTGGCATGGCAGTCGCTGCACCAAAGAAGCTCAGTAAGAGCGCGCGAAAGAAAAAAGCAATAGAGGCTGCAGAAGCCAAAGCTGCTCTAGAAGTGGCTCTTGCTAGCTTTTCAATTGTGCAGGATGAAAAATCGGCACCAAATAATATGGAAATGACGCCTGAGGAGAAAGCAAAAAAAGTCAAGACCTTGTTGAAAAAACTCAAGCAGATTGACAACATCAAAGCGAAAAAGGAAGCTGGCGACTCACTTAATGATGATCAGCTCCAGAAGCTTAAGATGGAGCAAACGTTGCGCGATGAAGTAGCTGAGCTCTCCGCGCACATGTAAAGGCTTTCTTGCTTAGCTTTAAAATGGAAGTAGAATTTGTAAAACCTGAAGATTTGCTTTAAATGGCAGGCATCCTTCTACATTCTTCCTTTGCTCCTCGATTAGGTCGAAGCATTAGCATTATCTGACGAGACGTAGACAGCCCATTGAGCTGACGGATTGGGTGGGGGAGGCACAAAATACTGTTTAAAGAAAACAACCACGTTAGAAAAGGCTCACCGTTGACACAATCCTATTTTGCTCATAATCATGTACCGGAGGAATGAATGAAGCTCCGTATGTGGTCGGTAATACAATGTACTGATCCCAAGCTCGTCGAACTTCGATCAATGAATCCATGGTTAGTTTCTCCGGATCTAGCGTTGGCGCAGATGCTGTATTGTTCTCCATTGTTCGACTTGTTGTAGTTGGCTCACTTATATCTGTTTTCGAGCCATAGTTCTGTTTTTCTGTCTGCTTCTTGTTTTCTTCAATGACAGACTCTGACTTATAATTCTCGTATGTCTCTGCTTCGTCTTGTAACTTCACATCAACAGCTTGACGTATACTTGCCTCAGCTCGACGACGCACCTTTAATCGCTTGCGATATGTCTAGAGTCAATACTAAAAATTAAATATGTCGCGAGAGCTTATCAATATAAATCATACCTTTTTCTTCTGGACTCGTGCTGCGAATGCTCGAAACTCTGCAAGTTGTTTCTTTGTAAATATCCCCGACACCGCATTCATTGCATCTAATTGTCTCTTAAGTGCTTCACACTTTGCGGTAATTTGTTTGTGCTCGATACATAATTGCGCCTTTTTCTCACCTAACGTCTCAACTTGAGAGCTTTCCAGTCGCTTTTCGACTGCAGCAAGCTCCGATGCCGCGACTTTTAGCTGTAATGCCAACGTTTGCGCTTGCACAACACGACGTCGTATAAGTCTGAAAGGAGGCTCGTTTTGTATTGTTGGTGTATCTTTGGAATGTATTCCTTGACTGCAGTGTGTCCGTCTGAATGATTCCAACCACAACTGCTCCGTATCAGGTATTGGACTTGGCACAAAGCGAGGGTAATAGCCGCTATCAGGAATCAATGAGCGCGGATATAAATATGGCGGACCAACGATTCCACGTGGAGGTGGTGGAACTGGATGATATAACGCTGGGCGTGCCCATGCTCGAGGCGGTAAACGCTGCATTTTGAAGATGCCATACAGTTTTCTATTGGCTAAAAATAAACAAATTGCAAAATGACGGATGTGCACGGCGAGCTGCTAAAGTGTGTGTTGCAACTGGCGGCATGTAGCGACAAGGTACGAAGCGTGTGTTAGCAAATCTACTAAATATGAGATTGACATGATGTTGTAGCTCCGCGCAGCAGATGTGATGTTGGGCAAGTACGTAAACCACATGCAACAAGACTTGCCAGCTTCTGGGATGCCGCGTCTGACATCCAAGTTGGCAGTGGTACCGGCTCATCCGGTACGAGAGGCTTTGACTCTAGAGGAGAAATACCAAGAGGCATATGAACAAGGAATGGTGATTACAGAGCGATTAGAGGTCACTAAGTCAAGACTAGAGAAGGAATTGCGGCGGCGTTCGGAGAATGTACGTCAATGACACGAGTGATGGTGTTTAGAGTGAATGGTGATGTTTTGATATTTTTGCTTATTAGTTTCGAGACTTGGTCAAAAGCCGAAATACTGACATCCAGGAAGAGTATGCGCGTATGCTTCAAGAACTTGACGATCAGGTTGAATCGCTAGGTCAGGAAATAACGAAAGAGAAAGATGTTAAAGCTGATCGAGCAAAGAGACAGCGAGAGGAAGCTTTACAGTGGAAAGCGAATAAATTACAGCATCTTGAAGCAGAGAGTACGCTGCTTAAGACGCAATTGAATGATTTTACGACTGAGATTCGAGAATTGCAGCAAACGTTTGCCACGCTGGAAAAGGAGGATGAGAATGAAGAAAATGAAAATGCTTTGGATAATGTCGAAAGCGCAGAGGAACGACGTCGACTTGAAGAAGAACGCGATCAAAATGAAATTATTGAATTAGAACAGGAAATTGTGTTGCTGAAAGAGGCTCGAGATGCGATTGCTGACAAGATTGATGTATGTGGAGCAAAAAGCTGCGAATTTTGTGTCTACTGACTTTGTTTCTTAGAAAAAATCATTGAAAGCTCAATATGAAGAGGAAAAGCAGGAGATAGTGGAAGAAATCGCTCATGTAAATGATCTTTTGTATTGGATTCTGTATCTGTTAGCTCACTATTGTTTGGCTGTAGTTAAAAAGCTCGGTGGAAGATTTTACAGCACAAATCAACTCGAGTGGCAGTCGACTAGATTCGTTATTGCGTACTCTTGCGCCATCACCTGGAATAGGGACGCTCATGACCCGACTGTATCAGCAATTACGCACTGATACTGTTGCAACGTCGTCTTCAAACGTGCTTCATACCTCGCGAAAAACGGTGGACTTGAAGTCATTTCTCAACGTGAGTAAAAAAAAATTGTAACGCAATGGAAATACTGACAGTAAAGATGTGAAATCTCGTGTTAATAGAGCTGTCCAACTTATGAAGAAGGCAATCAAGCTATTGAGGAGCTTAAAAAGCTGCAGCTTATCTACTGTTACGAAAGCAGCGGAATTATTGCAAGGGAAGATTGATTACGTGGTACAACGTCAAATGCACAATCAACTAGTACTTCTTACAACTTGCTTCTTTTTTTGTTGAATTTCTTCTTGAGCTCCAAGACAAATTCAAGATATTCACTTGACGCTGCACGACGATCCATGTGGTCAAACTCGCTGGCTAATGCTTTTAGAATCTTTGGAGTGTATTCGCGACGTAGAAGTGACTTGTACAATGGAAGAATCATTTTGTTCGAGTGATTTGTCACGATTGGCTCAACCTCAGCAAGAACTTTCTCTAAGAAACCGTTTGTTGGGAAGACGTCACTAACGAGCTTAACATTCAGTGCTTCTTGAGCCGTGTACACCTTGGAGCGGATGATGAAGTCGTTAGCAACAATAGGTCCTAGGAAGTGCGGGAATGTATACGATGACGCAAATTCCGGTACGATACCAACACGTAAGAATGGTGTACAGAAGGTGGCACTTTCAGCAGCATACACAAGATCACAGTGCATGAGCAGTGTGACGCCAATGCCGATGGCACATCCGTTCACCGCAGCCACCAGCATCTTCTTGCACGCAATAATTCTATGCATAAAAGTATATACTGGGCTTTGTGAAGGTCGACGCACTGATTTGTCAACTAGATAGGCAGGCATTTCTTTCATGTCAGCGCCACTAGTAAAATAATTACCGTGGCCCGATATGACGAGTGCATGCAAGGAATCATTGGCCTCGAATTCATCCAATGCTGCCGTTAACTGCTCATACATGGCGTCATTAAAGGCGTTCTTGGAAGAAGGACGATAAAGCTCGACCACGAAGATATTATCAGCATGTACATGAGAGCGAATCACGGTCATGGGACTCATGATGTGAGTGGAGAAGTATTTTGTCTACACAAAATATTAGAGCAGTCAAAATATTGAGTTGTTTAATTATGTCACAGGCTTTGGTCTGGACGCAAACACGACGCGTGTGCGAGCGATACCAACCACTTTGTATTTGATCTGTAAGGTTCCATTGTCGTTGCCACTAGCCAGTTCTATCTCTCTATCATCACTACTGTAGTTCTTTTGCAAGATGGCGAATGGCTTGAGCAGCTTTGTCACCTTTCCAGCTAGCACGTGATTGCCTATGCGCAACGTGATTTCGCCATTGTGGGTATAACGTAGCGATCCAATGTCTAGTCCGCGCAGATCATACTTTTCGTTCTCTTTTACTGGTATTATATCGCCTTGAAATTCCAGCATACTCCACTCCTTTGCCGCTGCATCCACCTCTACAGGCACTAGCATACTTTTTTATATTTAAATTTTGTTCATCACATAATTCTGAGAGCCGCACATTTTTTTGAGGTGAACCCTTAAGAAACTAGGATGCTTGGACTTGTTCACTCCAAGCGCCTTGTGCGCATTCCCCTGTGCTTTCGCGCCGCCAGTACAGTAGGCGCAACTTTGGATGAGGCAGTCAATCGTTTGCCACACAAAGAAGCACTTCGTAGTATCAAGCAGGATGTCCGATGGAGTTTCAAGGAGCTAAATACGGTTGTAAGCGAGCTGGCCAACGGCTTTTTGGATCTGCAGTTTCGATGTGGTGATGTGGTAGCTCTGTGGCTACCAAACAATGTTGAAAATGTTGTAACACAGCTGGCAGCGGCGCGCGCGGGGCTTACGCTGGCCTTGATTGAGCCTCAGGTATCGGAAGCCGAGGAGCTCGCTTACATTTTACAAGACAGTGAAGCCAGCGGCCTCATTTTCGAACCCAAGCATGCAGGTCGAAACCAAACAAAGATTGTACAAGATCTATTTCCGGAGCTAGCTACCTGTAAGGATTGATGCAACGCGATGGTATGCCGAGCTGACATCTTTCTTGTAATACTCTATGCTACAGTCCGTCAGCGCAAGGAGGTCTTTCGCCCAAAAAACTTCCGCCATTTACACACTGTCATCACCACGGGTTGGGACCCAGTGGAAGGCATGCTCAATCTCAATGGAATGATGGTTAACAGCCCCGAACCTCACATCCTGAAAGCCGTAAGCAAGATGCTTAATGAAAAAACGCCACTGGTTTTTACCTACTCACGTATGAGTTTTGGATGAATTTCATTTGTATGTATCGGCTACTTAACAAATAATTTGTTGGCACTGTTAGAAACTAAGGGTCAGAATCCGAAGAAGAGTGCGTTACTTACCCACGGTGACCTGCTACAGCGCGCTGAGATGCTGGCCACGAGGTTTGTACTTAACCTTGACGTTTATGCGAAGTGCTTATCAGTTGTAATGTGCGCAGTCTGAAACTTACTGCAACGGACAAAGTTCTTCTGACTGGAGAAGAGCCGGGATTGTCTTCCGGTCCACTAGCCGCTATCAGCCAAAGCGCGCAGATTGTTCTGCCGTCCACTGAATTTGACCAAGAGGCCATACAGCAAGCTATGAAGGTAGAGCAATGCAGTATTCTAGGCAGCGGACTTGAAAATTTTAAGCGCGTGTGAGTTAAGACGCTTGGAGAGCAACTGATAAAAATCTCACCATCACAACTTCCTTTGTAATTACCAAAATAGTTGAGTACACAACAAACAAATGCGATATAAGTCTTAGCATCGCATCTTGTGGTTCCTGTGACGTCTTGCTCGTAAATGCAGGTTCAAGAACCAAAGTGATTTTCTCGCATTATTAAGCCATGAGAATTCCACCAAGACCAAATGTGATCGTGGCAAGAAGCATCGAGCGCATTATTTCGCGCGATGTGTAAGGTGGAAGCTCAACTGAAAAGAAGCATGTGTGAGCAACCGGAAGGCTGCGTGTGGCATCTCGACCGCCTTTTTTGGACAATTTGAAAGGTTGTGGCCATTTGCCTCTTGGAAGACGACTGCGACCCCATGCAAAGCGAACAAAGTCTGCGCGTTGTTCGTCAGAAAACTCACCGAGTACCTCCCAAAAGAGCTGCACGGTCTCGTCTTCTTCGGTGTAACCGTCGTAGCGCGTGTGACGCTGCCAGAGAGCCAAATCAATTTTAGGCGAGCCACACGCGAGTATTTCAAGCTCTTGCCATGTAAGCACTGTAAGAACGCGACGAGGAAAAAGTGTCGCAAATCCCCGAGCCATCGCAGCAACCTGTGCGCTGCACTCGTGCAGCCGGGTACGCTCTGCTAGGCGGCAATACTCTTTCCGGTTGCCGAAACCTACTGTAAGCAGACGACCATTTGGTATGAGCTCGATTTCCTCTCCTGTGCAAGATGACGCAGTGAAACGTAGCTCAAGGCCAGCAAAAGCAACAGCAAATTCTTCCTCTGTTAAAATGCCATCGTTTTCGCAATTGGCAATCCCATCTAGCATTTGAATGAACATGGCGTCGGTATCTTCAAGATCGGCGCGATCAAGTGTCTGACCAAGCAATTGTTTCCACACCAATGATGGAAACATAAAGGGAAAATCGCCGTGCGTACGCAGAGAAATTCCAAGTAACTGACCTACAAAACCAAACATTTGCATCGCAACAGGAGACGTGCACTTGGGATTTGGTAAATACATACCACGATTATTCCCAGTGTCGTGCTGGCCATTAGGACACAAAACAAACAAGGTGAAGTGTGGAGAAAACAAATCGTCCACCATCGAGGTGGCTCCTTCACGGTAAACTCCACCCCAGTCCACTCCTTCTTCACCACGGAACTTGACGCTGAATAGCCGACCTTTGCTGTCGATTTGACGTCTAAATAGTGCAGGGTCGACAGAATGGAGCTGACGAAACGCTTGTGCGAAGAAGCACTCGGACACTGACGGCTCAACCTCACGATCATCTTGGGACTCTAGTGCTTGCATCCTGTCTAGTGTTATGCGCGCTGTCTGCTGGTGCGAGCTTCCGCTAGTATCTCCCGAAACGCTTGTCGCATCGATTGCAGCGTCCACGAGAGTGCTCTTGATATCAAAAAAGATACAATGGCTCAGCTGTCGAAGCTGGTGTGCAACCGTCCACACTGATTTTGTGTCCCGTAGGTCAAGAAATGACAAGCAATGACGAAGGCTCAGATTAAAGTACTTCAGCAAAGCGAATCGAAGCTGCAGCGACTCGAGCGACAGACGCATTAGCTGCGAGCACCGCAACCCATCTAGTGTCTGATCCAGCTCGATTTCAGCTGGCTGTAAATCAACCGAATGCTTCGAACTTGCTGGGGTGGTCAACGCCAGCAACGCCGCAGAATCCACGTGGTTATTTACCCAGTCCACTAGTTGCAAATCCATTTCTTGCGTCCAGCGCTCCCCTTCAATTGTATCATTACGCGCCGTTTGCAGCGATACTAGCTTTTGAAGAAGCTGCTCCATATCTTGAACCGTTGCACGAGATATTTGCAGCTCTTTGCAGATACCTAATGCAGTCACTGTAGCAGCAAAGCCAAAATGATCCCCTGCATTCTCGTCTGCATGAAAAGAATACTCGAGGTTGTTACCATCAAAAGAGATCGGACCTTTAGGCCACCCGTTCTCCCCCGCATATGTTCGGGTGCTTAAAGTTTCCTTTCTAGAACCGCCTTGATGCGGATCTAGCCTGAAAGTTGCCAGCTCTAGCCGTGCAATTCCTTGACCTTGGCCTGCAGCAAGTGAGCAGCGAGAATCAAACGTTAAGCGAAGATTCTGAGCCCCTTCAAATGCCACTAGACCGCTTATGGTAGTGTTGACTTTATATGGGTGCGACGTCTCAATGATAGTGGAAGATCCGTAAACCTCAAGCCATATTGCAACCAATATATGCTGGGGTAAATGCGCTGTTTTTCCAAGCAGAAAATTTGTAAGCACAAATACGTCGTTGAGACTGTCACAAATAGGCTTGAGCTCAAAAGATATTGGCTGCTGGATCGGGATCTTTAGAAATGGTGCTGGAGCATTGCTTTTACTTCGATAAAGGGAGGATGCCGAGAAGATCATCATCGACAGTTCCACCAACTCTAACAAGCGAGCTGACAAAAACGTTTTGCCATTGAATTTGTCAAGCTCCGCACGACTTAATGCCAACTGAGTGATGGATTCTAAGGACTTTAGCTCTGGCAACTCGTCAGGGGGAAACTGCTCAGGGTGGTGCAGCAATTGTTGTAGTAAGCGCACAACTCGTCCTTTAAACGGAGCTCCTGGTGAACGCAGGTAACGCACAAGTGCGTTGAAAATTTTGCGATTGTGCACTGCACCATGAGCTACCAGCTCAGCTGCATCGTTAAGTAACAGCTCCAGTACCCAACATGCCCATTCTAGTGAAGGATTTGTTTGCACTTCAGCTTCTTTCGTCCAGCGAATATTTGACATTGGTTTTACTTGGAAACGGTAGCCATACCCATGATCTTGAGAAAGACTTTCTTCCGAAGCCGTAAAGCGAAACCAGAACTGGTGTGAATGGACGACTAAGTCCGGAAGGTGATGACCCGATGTCGTCATGACATAATCTACAACGCCAATACGATCGCCACACTCCGGGTCTGCAAAAAATGTTAATTTTGCATTGGGCCCCAACCGACAGCGGTGGTCGAATATGATACGTAGGCAGCGATATGAGCTATCAATGCTCACAGCTCGAGCGTACTCACAACGACCAAAGTATGGGTGTAACGATTGGAACTCCTGGACAGCTGATACTTCACCATCTCCGGCCATCCGCGTCGAATCTGCAAAGTGGTTTATACACTCCTGAACTAGCACACTCGAAAGCAACTCGTCTTGATTATCCACATCGCCTTGTAGGTCAGCGATTATCCCCTGCTGAGCTTCCGGTTCGGTCGACTCTATTCGTAAATGTCTCGACCTCTCTTCGCTCTTGCTTTCTTCATGGCAACAATTCCCGCGATTTTGGTTGGTAGCCAGAGAAATAGGCTGCAAACTTTCAATGGAATCAGTCATAGATTGACTTGACACTTTACTTTTATCATTGACTCTTTCGCCAATCTCAAAATCATGCATATTTGATGATGTTAAATCATTGGTGCGACTTGCAGTAGATTGACCGGCCTTATCTGATTGAGCTTCTTCACGCAGAATTTTCAGTATGATCATCTGTAAACTGGCAATTAAAGAAAATGGCTGCTTGGTGATAGTTGATCTACTACTGTTATCCGTCCATGGAAAGATATTCATTGCCTCCACTTCCATATGTTGGGAGTATCGCATTTCAGACGCTGCCACCATCTTAAGAAGATTAACGAGACGACGCGGACCACCCACGATATCTAGTATTTGATTCGATAATGGAGACGACACTGACGTAGATTTCTGCTCGAAATCTTCAGCTCTCCCAGTCAAAATGCTTGGCTCGAATTGTGTTTGCGAGGAATTTTTATCATAAGTCAAAGAGCAAAGCAGCGCTGTGACCGCGCATCTAGCGTAATAAATGGAAAGAGCATTCTCCGTTTTCAGTGCTACACGATGAATGCTGGCAGTACCTGTCAGCGGCTCGTCATAAATCTTAACGATACGTCGGACATCGCGAGGTTGATGCCACTCATCTTCGTACGCGCCAGACTCTGTATTTAAAAAAGTTATTAGCACACCATCGTTGGGCGAGTAACACCGGTATATACCCGTTCGACCGCTCGTCATTAATTGTTGAACGGGTCCAATTTCGTTCGTCACTGTCAGAAGAATGTTTAAAGTTAAATACTCAGGGTCTAGTGGCGAAAAAGCTGCCACGCTCGCATCATTTGGTGCTTGAGCATTTAAACTGCTGGGCTTAGCAGAACCTTTCGGAGCCAGAATTGGAGCTAGAGTTACAGCCATGGCGTCAACGTCAAGCACGTAAGACATCTTTGGGCATTGCGTCAATGCAGTTGGGCGTAAATCATCAGCAGAAATCGCGCCCTGGCTCTCAAAAGTCGTCACAAGTGGATCAGGCCGATCAATTTCTTCCAAGGCAGCTATATCGTCTAGAACAGCAGCCCTCGCGGTCATAAATGGGTCAACTAACTCATCCACCGAGTCATATTTCTTAGCATACTCATCCCCGTACTCCATCAGCCATTCCATAGCACGATTTGGGTCGCTGTTCGAAAGCTCTAGAGCACAAAAGGCAAGGCAATAAGGCTTACCAGATATATTCTGAAGTTCCTTTGCTTTTGCTTCAAGCGTCGAGTTAAAAGACCCGTCCAATCCATCAGCAAATTCATAAGCAGCCATATTCGCCTGTGCTAGTCTTTTTGCTTCCTGTCGCTCTTGGTATGAAGCTGCTCCATCCCCCATCAGCCATTCAACTGCGAGATTTGGGTCATCGCGTGTGTGTTCTAGTGCAGCCACACACAGGTCGAACTCAAAACCCATGGCAGCTAAGGTTGTGGCGAATCCTCTTCGAACACGATTTGGTTCAGTTTCGTCTTCGATCGGATCGTCAATAGCTTCAACACCATCTGAAATGCCAGTTGTTTCAGCCGCGGAGAGGACTGGTGCCGTAGGATTCTTCAGTCCCCGAAACATAGCTTCACCAAGTGGAGTTGCAGACTCGATAAGCCGGCACAAAATCATCCGACCACGCTCCTGCAGCACTGGTAAGCTTAGAAAGCTATTTAATTTAATCGGCGTTAAAGCATATTGAATCAAATTTTGGGCCAAAATGTCACCAGCAAATTTTTTTGTGGCATCAAACGAATGACGAAAGAGAACTCTTAGAGCCAACAAAGCGCGAGATCGGATCTGTAGTTGGCTAAGGTCGTCGAAATGGACAAGGACATTTGAATCATCGAGAGATGCAAGCTGTAAAATAACCGGCATCATATCAAACGTCAAAGGAATCGCCGTCGGATGTAGATCAATTTCTTCAATCGGCGACAAAGATGAAAGTTTTACATCTTGAATATTGTGACTAGGATCGAAATCAGCAGCAGAGGAACTTGGATGGAAAACTACACGCACAGTTGCAGCATGTGAGCTCATCTCGATTAAAGTAGCACTCACGACCTGCTCTCTTTCATCGACGCCTTGGGCAACACCACTACCGCTGGCGCCCTGAGCAGCGACAACAACTCTTCCACCGATTCGTATACAATCAGAATGAGAACAAAGCACGCATAGAGCACCAACAGCACGAATTATTGCTGTCCTAAACCGGATGCCTGATAGGTCTGCACCAGTCGCCTCTAGTGATGGTTGACTTAACTTTTTCTTGACAAGGAGCGGCGAAATATTACGAATAGCGCTGCACAAATTTTCGGCCACACTTTGGTGCCAATGCTTTTCCTCAAGCAGCCGCCGTAAAAGCGCCACACTCTCCGAGGCCACAACCAGTGAAATCTGGCCTGAATTAAAACCAAGCGGGTTGCTCAAAGATTCTGTGGATACCATTTGATCAGGTGTGAGCAACGTGTTACTAGTGGCTACATTAGCTGCATGCAGTAACGTAGGTGTTGTGGCGGCACACACAGATTCGGCAACCTGATCAAGCAGTAAATCGATCAATACTGACTCGGATCCAAGAATGACTCCAACATCGGACGGTTTGACGCTACCACTGCAGCAGATTCTTCGGAGAAGAAGTTTGACAACACGTTGGCATCGAGGAGAAGCTATTCGAAGAATTTCAAGAAGCCCTTGTAGCATCGGTGGACGAATAAAATAAATTATCGCAGGTGGCTGCGTGCTTTGAGAAAGCACGAATAGTAAAACACCGAACAAGTGCGCCTCAACTTCAAGCGCATCCAGAACCCCGCCGTCGCTAGTTAAATCACTCGCGTCCTGATGATTATTTGAAAATCCGGATTCGCCTCGTGCTACATCGCTTGGATAATGTCGAAGGTTTGCGCCACGCTTTTGAGCAGGGGTTGAAACTGAACGAAGCATCCGCTGAGCACGCGTAAGTCCATCAGCTCCATGAGTCAGCTCTTTTCCTTGTATAAGTTCCTTATCAAGTACTTCAAACACTTTCCGATGAAACTCTTTTGTGAACCATAACGTCTGAAGTACGGGCTCTTCTAATTCTCGATTCGTGGCTGCACTCTTAGCAGCATCACTAGCTGCTTCAGCTGTGCGGGCGGCGTCTTCGAAATTTCTTGTCTGGGGGTGGGACAGTTCAGAACCTTCTGCTGGACTTTCGCTGGTACCATCCTTTTGGAGTCGCTGCTTTCTCTTAAGTCTTGCAACAGCAGCAACTAATTTGGCTTCTCCCTCGCGCCTCTCAAAAGCACCACTGAAACCGGTGGAGGCTAAAAAGCGGAAGACGACCCAGGCACATTTTCGTATTTGCTTACTGAGAAGCATCTGTTCATCTGTGCAAGCATTCCAACAGGAAATAAGCTGACTTGTATTGGCATCAATTGCTTGGCGAGTCGTGTCAGATTCATTTTTCTTCGAGTCAGGACACTCCTTATCATCATCGGCTGAAATACTGCTATCGTCATCATCACCATATTGATTAAGATAGCTCGACTTTTGAATTGCGGCAAGTTCGTCCTGCTCGCAGATCAGTTTTGACAGCGTGATAGATCCATTGTACTCGTCTCTCAGCCACAGCCGAACCTTTCGCTGAAATAAACCAACATATCTCAAAACTCGACCCCATTCTATCGACGACATGCTATTTAAAGCGTCATTGCCAAAGACTGGTATATTTGCCGGAGCCCAGCGACAATGCGATATTGACACATTAAAGCCTCTGGCTTCAGGACCTTCACCTAAAGCTTTAAAATTGGAAGCGGAATCGAATCCACAGATACCCTCTCCTTCTGTTAGATGCCAAAGGCCGATCAAATCTCGAGTAAAATTACGCGACTTGGGTAATGATGAATCGTCTTGGTACGTCGTCAACGGAATGCTGCGTTGAAAATCTTGCCTTATACTAAAGTGCGTCCGCGCTATTCTCCAAATACGGACTTCTGCAATTGATCCTTTAAATCTCCTCTGCGCAAAGCAGTCGGTAAGCGCAGCACCTTGAGAGTCAAGACCACTCATCCAGCAACCAAGTCGAGAAGCACGCAAGTGTATAGTGCTGCATACCCGTCCAAATTCCATTCTCTCTACGAAGTCACCGTTTACGATGAGCTCGATATACTTCGCTGTTGCATTGTAAGCCACCGCACAATGAGTCCATTCAAAAGTGCGGAACTGGTACGACGTGAACATTCGTTCCCGCGGTGTGTTACCCGGAATGGACAATTGTAGGTGTCTGTCGATCAGTTCCAGATACACGCTGCCATTTTGAAGATCATTATCGCATCGCAAAGCTTGGCAGCCCACCAACTCAGCTGGAAACAGCCACATTTCTATCGTAAAATCGTGTACTTCACCCAAAGCTGGCATTTCGACATAACTGATGTCATCTGGTTTGCAATTCGAAGACTGGGCACCTTTTGCGATTGCAGGAGTGAAAATGGCACCAAAGGTTAGTACTTTGGATGGGTAGATATGAGCTGGAGGACCTAGCAGCTTTTTTGATAGTACACAAAGCATTTCAGCATACAACAGCGACAGCGACGACGCTGTGTGGCAAGCAGTCAACGAATTAGTAACATTTAAGCAATCTTCATCCAGCCCATTTCGCTTCCACAAGATCGAAGAGCAAGCATAATTAGGAACGCGATGCAAAAGGCGAACGACATCACGCTTGGTCACATATCTATTGCGCAGGAGACCCTGTTGAACAAATTGCTCGGACAGCGGATGCCAATTAATGCTCGAGTAACCTTTTACTAAGTTGCGCGATGGACCATTGCTTGATTTTCTTGTCAATGCTTCACGTAACACCGAGCTGATTGAAAAGATTTCTTGCAATCTAGTCAAAATTCCAACGTCTAACAGAAACTGATGATCCCGTGGCTCAAAATCTAGACTCCAAGCACATATAATCGTTTGCTTCAATTGCGAATCCGACAGAGTATAGCTTGTGCTTCCGCCGAGAAGTTGAGCCAAATAAGCGTACAGATTGCAAAAGGCGTCTTGGACACTGTCGATAGTCTGACGATTACAGCCTTCCAGTCCCTTTAGGTAATGGTGGCGAACGGTAGCTCGAAATGTTTCGGCAACAACTTGACCATCATTTAACTCACGCGATTCTTTTTCACTGTCTGTGAAACCTCGCATAGCTGGACGCAAAAAAATTAGGACATTATGCATGGCTGAATCGAACGAGAGTTTTGAAAGAATACTTTTCATTGCTTGGAGACCGAAGAGGCGAGAATCAGATCGTCGCTGACGTCGCTCCAATAGCGATGAAAGTATTTCAGGTGGCGCACCTGATCCGTCACGAATATACAGCTCACATGCCTTCATCATTGCTGAAAATGTGCTCGTATAATCGGATTTCTTGCTCGCCTGCAGATGGACAGAGGCTTCTGTGTCCTCGCTGTCATCTACTGTAGCGGATCCAGAAGTAGCACTGAAAAACGGTTTGGAGATGCCTAGTATTGAAGCACGCCGAGCTCTCCAGCGATGCTGAGCTCGCAGAATGTCCACAATACCCGACCACTTTGAGCTGTCCACCTCACCAAGCGCCTTCCATCGCTCAAGCATCGGCTGTAGTGAAGGCGGTGTCTTTTGTGCACCCCATTTTTCCGCCAAGTTAAAAAGTGCGATTTGTGAGTCTACTTTAAGACGCCCTGCTTCCTCGGACGGTGGTGCTAGCTTGCACAGAAATTCAGCTCGCTGAATCACCTGTTTGACAAGATCGTCGAACGACCTGGGCATCATCACGATTTGGTCTAAGTTTATGTCATCGCTTAAGCGCTTTGCTGAATCAAAACCATCTGCTACTAAAAAATCGCGCCCCTCTGGCGTCTCGATTCGCGCAGACTCATGTAAAGAATTTTCGTCTGCTTCTTTTGCCCGATATTCTTGCCGGGTCTTTATTAGCCAATGACGAAGCATCAAAATCCGCTTCCAGACTTGAATCAGATCACTGGACGGAGAAAAGTTCGCGTGAGCAAGAAAAAAATCAGCTCCAACAACTCTACCAGCCATACTGGCTCCTGCTCCTGCAGCAATTGCTTCAACCTCTTGCAGTACGTGAGATGGTGCATGCATGATTAACGCCGCACCCATCCATCTCTCACATACCGGAAATCTCCCAAGGCGGCTCAAAAATGTACGATCTGGAGAATGTTTTTCTAGCCAAGACAAAATCAGTTGCACAGTACCTCGCTCTGACATATCTTTCGTCCAGTTGCTCCAGAAGACAAAGTTGCTCTGTTGAACAGCGTCAGAAGCTTCGAATCGTTTTGCAGGCTTTGCGAAATGAAACTCTTGCTCTGAATTTGCTGGCGCATTCTGAGACAAGGTCGACATCGAATTTGCCCCAACTATCTGATCAGTCGATGGCAGGCGGGTGTATTCTGCTCGCAACGCATCACTCCAACGCAACGGAAAGCTTAAATGGGCTTGTTCCTGGCCAAGGAAACCCTCAGCAAAGCCTCCGCTAAGAAGTGGTGATTGCAGCCAGGGCAGCAACTCTTCCTCCACACCATCGATTGGAACGCCCGCAATTAGGGTGCTAGTTATTCGACCGGCAAGAGATGCTAACGAGTTATGTAAGTCGAATAACCAATGTATACGAAGCGTCGACTTTGCAATCCCTGACGAACGAGCTTGAACGACATCTTGGGCGCCGTAGAGAGACACAGCAGCCGTAACAACTTCAGGCAATTTCGCTATTGTCGTTCCGATCGGGCGAAAATCGCCAGGTCCCACCGCGATCCCTAAATTTTCTCCGTTGTATGCAAACGATACCAGCTGTGAATCAAAATCGATCGTTATGGTAAATATGTCACCGGCAGCAATTGAGATCTTTGTGCCGTAGTCATATCGCACTCCTTCAACCCAAACGGCACCGTTCGAAGGCATCCAACCGATGCTAGATTGTACTTCGCCCAAAAATGTATCGTAAGGGTAGTTGTTTTTTAATGGCTGTCGCCAGACAACTCCGATGCAAATATGTCCAGATACTGTCCCCCCAACACGGGAGCTATTCAACGCGAAATCGATAGAATGAACACCATGAAGAAATTCTGTTCGCAATAGACATGTGCGCCATGCATCAGTACCATCTTTGGCGTAGGCAGTTGTCCCGGTGTGGCTGATACGGACGGAATTTAGCTTGTTCGTCGGACTAAATCGTAGCGAATGACATCCATGTGGGGGAACAAATCGCGAAAGATTTGCAAGCGGTGTCTCATCTAAAATAAAAATTGTTGGTACGCCATACGCAGCGCCCGTCATGTTTTGAGAGCCTGGAAACCCAACCGATCCGGAAGCATAGCAGTCACGAAGAACACGAATAAACGACTCATCGTATTCTTCACCCGGCAGATTTTCCCGTTTATACCACGGATCTCCTCCGTTCGCGAATTCCTGGGTCGTCAATCGGTATCGTTTTCCCTGGGTAATTTTTAATGGAGACGGAAGTATCTCGAGCGCGTACCCTAAAGAATCTTTTTCTGAGCTTCCTCCGACAGTAATCTCAGCAACAAGAAGTTGGGATCCCTCCTCCCACAGCCGAATTGTATGATCTCGTGTTAGATTTCCGCCATGCCTCGTTGGATTGACAGAGCGGCCCAGTGCGACAATGCTAAAGCAGCTTGTTGCCTCAAACTGAAACCCGATCTGGCCGTCAAAATGATCTTTTTCTCCTGTATAGAGCTGCTGAAATACGTTATACAGTCGTTTTGATGGAAGGCTCCGAGAAGCCAAATCTTTTTCATTTATTGCGGCACGCTCTAATTCTTGTGCTTCAATTTGTCGAGATTTTTGATAGGATTCCAGTAGTTGAAAACGATGAGCAGATTTGCTTACAATTTGAGATTCCGAGCAAAAGTGATCCAGCGCATCGAGAAGACTGACAACAGCAGGAAGGATCGGTCGGGCAAGCCATGTTTGACGACGTAAGAGGCACAAGCACGATACAAACCACGGAAGTAGCTCTGAAAGCAGGGGAATGCAATATGTGCGAACACTTGCTCTACTATCCGCTGCAGTCTTTGATAGAAGAAACGACTCATCTGCCTGAAATGCGATTGCACTGTCGATAAAATTTCGACAGGCATGCAGCGACAAAAGGCTGAAGTGAAGCGTTGCTTCCTGAACTTGAAATCTTCGTTGCAGCTTCGCTCTCAGCTCCATTGAGCTTTTTGCACAAGCTGCATCATCTTTGACGGCGTTCATACTTGTCAACTCGATTGCTTCTGAAAGCAGATATAGCTGATACGACTTTAGCAGTTGTAATGCTACATTAGGTAATCGATAGTCATTACCAGTAGCTGTGTGTGATCTGCATTCAATGTCAGCCTTGATTTGTTCTTGGTGACCTTTTACAACAACTTTCATCAAGAGGCTTAAAGTTTCTGTCACTGCAGCAAGCCATGTTTTTTGATCAGTCACCTTTAAACGTGTATCTTTGTTCTTTGCAACTCCAGCGGCCATGAAAGGCATAAAAGACAATATTCCATCGGGACCCGGAGCAGCAAGACGCGTCATCACTGACATTAATATAAAAGAACTTGATGCTGTGATGTCAAGTGGGCGCTCGGTATACAAATGCAACAACTCGAGCAGCAGTTTTAGTTTATCCAAACCAGATTGATACAGGGCAGAGATATTGGCAGCAAGTGTTCGGGCTGCTGCCATGCTAATGCTCTCAGTCGATGTTTCCGTTATGCAATCATGTTCCTTACGAATTTGGGCAATCGCTTCAATTTCATGCCGTAGATCAGTGACTATGTCGGACGAGACGTCGAGTTCTTCGCAAGAACCTTTGACGTCATGGCACTGTAAGCTTTCCAGATTTGCACTTATTATTCCCAAAATGCGTACACAGCCGTTTTGAGCATTTTCAACACTCAAAACGGCCCCAGGATAAATGCAATTAGAGTGGTAGTGCTGCAAAACAACGAGCAGCAAAGAAAAAACATCCTTGTTAGGTTGCCGGCAAAATGGTTCCTCGAATTGGATCGAGGATTTGGCGAAAACTACGCCTGAGTTTGATTGCGGGGATTGTTGCTGGCATAACTCATCAAGTCGAGATACAATCTCAACGCCAAGTGCGCTGATAGCTTCCATTTCTTCAACCCCATCTTCGCTTGCAATCAGTGCTGGCGATTTCGGCTCACTTACCACTTTCACTTCATTAAGTGTACGGCTATTGTCGCGGGTGCCAAATCTGCAAACCGCGCATATTTTTGAGAAGCCTTTGTTAGAGAAAGAGCACTTATGACAAACCCAATCCTTAACAGATAGCAAGTAAGGGTCAACCCAGACGGCGTGGGCACAGTGATTTGAGCCCAAGCACGACACCTTTAATTCCAGCATTCGCACATCTTGGACATTCACTTCAAACGGCTCGATGTGAAATGTCTCAGAGGTTGTCTTCGATTGCCACAACAGCTTTTCATCTCCAAATATTTTAAACACTAAAGAGACTCCATTTGTTTGAAGAACCTCATTCTGTGCATCGTCATTAATAGCAACCGCGCCTTTGAACATTCGATATGCTTCGGACAAATCGTACATCACGTACGCATCACCCTTAGAAGGAGGATGAGTCGATATACAGCGTTGCTTGATCTCACCCTGGATGCGAATTGAATTGCTATCGGCACCTACCACGTTTCTCAGACTATCAGAGTTTTCGTTACTTGCATATCCCAACTGACCGCCCTTTCCTAGCGTCCCGTATCCAACAGAAAAATGGTGCTCTTGTATGCTTGATAGAAATACCGGCTCAGCGTTCAAAGGTTCACGAGTGGTATAGTCCCACTTAGTGATTCCCAATAAAGTAATGACTTTACCAGAACCATAAAATGAGACAGCAGGATGTACTTCGTGGCCAGCAAGATCAGTAAATACAACACCATAATCTGTCCCATTAATTTTATACGCTAAAGTGCCTTTAGTCATGTCAACGTCAACCTGTACAATATCGCCAGGGTGCACTTTGCCGATTGTTCGACTGAGCTTATGTCCACGTGCGTATAAATTACCATTATAACCGCGGAGCATCCAAAGACTGGGCGATGAGTCATATCCGTTGACCGACACAGGTAGTATAGCTGCACCAAAACAAGTCATTTCATCGTCTTGCGTGTCTGTATCAAGGCGGAACTTCCAAGATGCTTTGCCCGAAGATATTTCGCAATTTGCAGCCGCATACTGATAGCTCGTTTCTCGTGTTCGAACAGAGGCACCTCCATCCTCGATAACCACGCCAGTCGAGCAAATTGACGACTCAAACACAGCGCTAACATTCCGGACGTCTGCCGAGCCGGCTTTCTCATTTTCGCGCGTAGTTTGATATATTTTTGCCCGATGAAATGCCATCACTCCTTTTAACAAATATTTTCCTTGTTCAAATGCCAAAGCTGCAATCCTACGCCGACGTGGGTTGTCTTCCTCTGTGTGCAAGTCCAACAGCATTTTCACGAATACCATCGTAACATGAAGTGACGCCGTCGCCAATGCCCAGGCCCTCAGCGCACTAATGGCTTCAGCCGCCATCACTTCATCCCTACTTTTCAAAGCCCCGTTGAGCCAATAAGCAACTGCACTCACGGTCGATGTTGGGTCGGCAAAAAGGGATCCGGAAGCTGGCACATTAAGTCGCAAATGCTTAATTGCGTAGATTCCATTGCGATTAGACGACGGCATTCCCGTCATAACTATTCGCACTTCTTTGCATGTTTCTGAAAAGCTTGTTTCGATCAGCGTAGGGCCATTTGACGCTACCAATTGATCGTCAGCCGCACTTTCAAAGTCCTCACTGTCCTTTGTACGATACTGAATGCCTACAGTTTGCGGTACATATTTCATGTACCAATGGATCTCAATTGACGTCACTTTAACCAATTCAATTGACTTGACAGTGAAGTACACAGCACCAGGTCTCGGTTGTGACTGCCAATATGTAGTATCCAATCCATCAACCGCCCCATATGCGTCATGTGATTCCGGACTCGACGTCACAGAAGTCGCTACAATCTCGTCTTTCTCTAAGACCAAAACTTTGTCAGGAGCCTTCTTTATCGGACTCCAAAATGAGTACAACGAAAGCACTGGAAAGCACGTCAGAATTTGCGACAATTCTTCAAATGATCGTAAGGCGTGTGAGCCTGTATAGTCGAACCCCCGAAGTATCGCTCCCAGTGTATGGATCGCTAGATGGTGCAGCTCTTCATCTCCTGGTACAGTTTCTACTGGTCGTCGAGTCTTCTTTACTTTATCGTGACTCATCAGCTCACAAGCAGTCTTCGAACTGTGAGAAATGACTGCCAGTCTCCTCTCCAGCACGTGCGTAAACACGGGCGTGGGCAACGATTCAATGAGCATTTCTTCGAGGGCCTTAATTGACCCTTTTTCCATAGCGTACTCATCTACCACTCCAGCGCTCGTCATATTTCGATAATCATTTACACTTTGTCGACACTTTAATTTCCTATTCTTGTGCATTCGATGCTCCGTCGGCAGGTCGCCCGCCGTGCTCTCGCCGCATATCAGACTCGAAATAAAAGTGTCCTGCAGGATATTAGCCTGTAATTGTTGAAGATATTCCTCACTCTGCAAATAATCATCCCAGCTAACGGCTGTTGTGTACTGCAGGGGTGCATAGCACACCGCACAAGATCGCGTACGGCCCGTGTGCAAGCGCGCAGGCTTCGGCATCCACCCGTCCTCGTCATCTTCCGCGTCCATGGCTGCATCCTCTGTCGCATCTTCGACACTTTCCTGCGATATACGTTCAATCTGCGCCACATCGCTCATATCAGCGCCAAAGTTCGCCACAGCCGCATCCGTGCGCACAAGATCGAGCTCTTCCACCTCCATAATCTTTGTTTCCCTACAAGTTACAAAGATTTACAATATTTGATTGGTAAAAACTTTGTCTAGTAGCCAACCCACTTCAACTTGTAAATGAAATATAAAAAAATAAAAAACATATGCAAACTATTAAAAAAGGGTTTTCGTTTTTGCAGGCTTTTTTGCTAAATAAGCAGCAATTTATGTGTTCTTAAGGCATGGGCAAGTTTCTCGAGCCATTAAGCACCCTCCGGGTGCCGCCGTTGACGTGAATGCTAGCAGGAGACTCAAAATTTGAGTAGCTAGCCTCCAGTGGGGTTGCTGCGGAGTAGTGAGACGAAGACCGACGCATGTGGGACCGCATAAAGCTCTGCTGACGAGACGCATTGGGTGCAAAAGACGTTCTTTCTCGAGCGGCTTCAGCCTCCTTGCGCATCTTCTTTTCGCTTTTGAGTTCTATTGCACCATCCTTAGAGCTGGCACACACTGCAAACATCACGACCGTGAGCACCAGACAGAGACAGGCGAAAGCCAAGTGGCTGATAGCAAATGAAGGCTCAGCCACATAAATTGCAGCCTGAACCGCGTAGTACACGATAAAAGACATGACAATGTATCGTCCATTCTGGTACGGCGGAAACACTTCAATTGCAGTGAGCCACGTGCCACACGTGAGACTGAGTGCACCACTGACAAATACAACACAGACCAAAATTTTAGTAATCGCGCTGTCTTCTTGCTCGGCGAGACCCATAGTGCCACAGGCAGCCGAAAGCGCTGCAGAAAATGGCAATATGTCTTTAAATATCGTCTTACGGCGCAAATTGTCGACTGTAAGTAAACTTAGCGTGGAGCCGAGAAATGTCATGACTCCATAATAAGTCGCCCACTTCGATGTTTGCTCGCCATCTTGATTGGGAGTCGGTTGTACGAGTACACGGTGCAGCAGGGCACCGGATGTAAAGAGTGCAAACGTCGCTTGAAGCACAACAACGAGCATGATCCGGAAAGGCAAATTTATATGACCATTTTTTATCACAAACGATTCCTTCATCTCATGAGCTTCCTCAAGCACATCGTGACGCTGGCGGAGACGCATTAAAGACGCCTCAGCTGCTTTTGGATCGTTCTTACGGCGATACTCCCAGTAATGGCTTTCCGGGAGAAAGAAAGCAGAAGGCATAAGCAGTAAGAGTGGAAGTATACCAAAGATAAATTGCCATTGCCAATCATGATACGGCGAGTTAGCCCAATTCCTCGACATGGCTTTTGCATTGATGTCATCAATGAGCACAGCCTCGATCATGTAGCCCAGTGCAGCACTTGAAAGGAATATGAGAACACCTTTACCCTTCCAACCTTGCATACAGATTTCAAAGTTATACAACGGGCAGACAAACGCGAGCATCGCAATGCCAGATGAGGCGGCACAAATTCCTATCAGCACCACCGAGCTTGATTCCAGCCACACCAGAGCACAACCCGCAATTGTCGTAATACACGAGGCCTCAATTGTCCAGCGACGACCAATTGCGTGAGCTAAACCGCCGCTTACTGCAACTCCCACAGCAGCAGCTCCAGCAGCATAGACTTTGATCATACTTAAATCTAACGCGCCGTCCAGTCGTTCATTGTTAAAAAAACTAAACGACTGATTCACAAAATTGTCCGAGGACGAGTTCACGTATCCTAACGAGAAAATAAGGCAAGTCAGCCAACCGTAAGTAAAGCCACCAAGGCCACCCACAAGCACACTCAACGCGGCAGCAAACTCACTACCGGAGCTGAGAGCACGTGAAAATCCTCCATTGTACATCATGCGCGTCTGTATGGTTTTCATAAACGGAAAAGCCGACAGCACCAAAAGAGGGAGAACGAGAAACAGACCCACAACTACATCAAAGAAGAAAGCAAGCTCTCGCACAAGACCCCACTTGGCAATGTGCAGACCAAATATCCCATGAAGCAACTGCAGGAAGTGTGTGAGTGCAAACAATCCTGTGAAAATGGCCACTGTCAACGAGAACGACTTGTGTCCGTTCCAATCTTGCATCGAGCCCACGATGAAGGGAGCCACACCAATCATTACAACCATTAGCACGTACAGCAGCGCACGCACGACGCGAGCCTTGTTGCGCAAACACCTACCCAGACCAAACCCACCAATCCACAGAGCCAAAGCAATCGCTACCACACACGCCAACAGCATGCCAATCTGACTCAGGTCGAATGAGAAAATGAAAATATAGTACATGACAAGTGGGTGGCGAAGTTCACGGAAAGCATAAACAATGCGGCTCGTTGTGCTTATTGAGAACATTATACTGGACTCGTAGTTGTAGAAATCATTCCACGTATCCCGCGGGTTGGAAGAATGACTGCTCACATGGTTCGGCAGCAATCGTTCACTATCATCCTCCTCTCGGACAGACATGAGCCATGAAAGCCAATATGTAATATCCACTCGCGTTTTGGAAAAGTCCAGGCCATCGGTGTTAAACATAAACGGCGCAAGCAGCCAGCAGGCCCCGAGTAGCCATACAGCAAATGAGGCGATACCATAGTCCTGGCCTTTCGAGCTGTATGAGTTCAAAAGTGTTACATTTGACGGAATAAGGTCCGGGTTTGCATCGCAGTCAAAGTCAGCAGTAGCACAGTACTCAGCCAGTGCATTCGTACCAATGTTAAAGTTACCAAAAATTCCAAAGATAATCATCAAACCCATAAGCTCAACAGCCTTGCGGTAGTGTGAAGCAGCGTACTCCTTGTAAAAGTTTACAAAAGTCTCACGAACGATGGCGAAACCACGACCAGTACCACGATACTTGGAGCCACCACGCATGATGGCGACATCAAAGAAGTGCGACTTAGTGCCCGTCTCAAAAATGTAGAAGACTGGGCCAAGCGTGACAATTAATTCTACAAAGTTGACTAAAGCCTGGTGCCATCCATACTCAACGAATAGCGTAGCTATCAGTGGAATGGTCATGAGCATACCAAACTGGAATATAAATTGCGTATTCATAACGTCAGCAAGATCGTCGAGATAGTTTGTTGTAATGATGGCAGATTCTTCTATTTCCTCGCGCAGCACAATATAGACCTTGCCATAAGCATACGCAAAAACACACAGCACCACCAATGCGTTACAAATGTAAAAGCCCATATGGCCATAAAACATTGAGTTTAAACGAAAAAAATCCATACCAGCGCCCATTCGATGGGACTCTCTACTTAGCGAGCTTTCCGCGCTACCGTTGGCAAGCTTAGCCTCAAAGGCATTAATTTGACTCAACGTAACATCGCGACCCTTTCCACATTGCATAAATTCTTCATGAGTCACCTTCTCACCACGAAGCGCCACGTTGTAGCCCGCGAATACATCTTCCGACAAATTGATTCCTTTGCTAGCCTTCGACACACCACCATTCGACATAACCCAGGATTTCTCAAACACGTCTGGATGACCATAATGCATACGACTTTGTAAAGGGTTCGCCATCACTCGTTGTGTCAAACTCACGAACACCAATTCTTGAAGTGTCATAAAATGTGCCAAAGACGACGCCCGACCTGTAAAAATGTGCTCCTTCATACCGATAATAGTTACGTTCTGACCATTTTTGGTTGCTGTTGCCAAAAAGTTAGGGATCTTCAACGCTTCTTCAAAGTAGTGTTCCTGGTTCATATCAATAGTCTGCAAGTACTCGCCACGAGTGAACGGCATGGCGATGTTCTGGTTTTCAGGCTTGCCTTCACCGACTATGGGATGACCAGGCAGCTCATAACGATACACCTCAACAATCTCATCACCATCCGACTTAACCAGCACACAATCATAGCGAGCAACACTAGATGGATAAGTCGTATCGACGTAACTTACGCGCCAATTCGGGTATTTACGCAACAGTAAATCGATATCTGCCGCACGCGAATCACCGGCCGCAAGTTGGTCGGCGTAGATTTGGCAACTGGTCACATACGAGAACTTTAGACCAGCAATACGATCCATGTGTTTTATCTTTTCCAAATGCGAAATCTTCTCGTCAGAGCCAATTTCCAGCCACCGCAACATCTTCAACGCATCCTCGTACATCATCATGCCATGCACAGTACGGGCCAACGTCTGTCCACGCATGGAAGCCCATAGTCGAACTTGTGTGGGTGTCGCCGCGAGAGCCTCGTCCATTGACGAGACACCCACTCGCTCGAGAAAGTTGCCCCACTCATCATCATGGAAAGTGACTAAATACTTCAAAATACTCAGGTCGCGACCTTTTTGCTCAACCTTACGAAACAGCGGGTTTGAGTCCACTCGACCATTCAGTTCATCTATAGAGAAAAGCACTGTTTCATTGTAGTACGGTGTGATGACAGAAAACGATTTCATTGCTGCAATTGAATCAATATTAGGTATCTTCATGTGCAAAGAGTTCAAGAAAAAACTCATACGACGCTGAGCCTCATGACAACGAGGCAGCGCATCAGCAGCATCCAATGTCAATAGGAAAAAGAGACGTGTCGATAATGACACGACACTCTCGTTCGAGCTAGGAGAAGTGGTACGAGAAGGTGAGTTTGAGCCGCGCTGACTAATACGATCGGCAAAGATCGACAAGAGCTGTTCCTTTTGGTAAGTAAGGTCCGGTGAAATTTTGGTAAATACTGACTTGCGCAATTTTTCTGCCATCCACTCTTCCTCTAGCATCAGCTCAATGCTTTTCAGTAAAGCATCCACACGCTGAATGACTAACAGGACCTGCTCGTGTTCGAAAATAAATGCGCCACCTGTCGGCCCTACGGTCGGTTCCGGCAGTTCCAAAATACTCGCGAGCAAGTCAACAAAGTTTTCACGCAATAGTCCAACATGAGAAAGGTTTACAACACCTTTTACCCTACCTCCAGCCAAAATCTGATGAAACACGCCAGCTATTTCAGATTCTTGAGGACCCAAAAGCTGTTGCAAAATTTGAAACATAATATCCAAGCAGTTTCTAGCACAATTTAAGACGCCAGCCTTCTTTAACTCTTTAAACAACTGTATATCACTCAAGCGTTTATTCGCCGACCTTGCAGCGATATCCGCAGCCGTTTGAGCTTCACCAGCAATCAAAAATACCGGCTCTTCAACAGCGCCAGTATCTGAAATCTGGTATTGGAGAATAGCAGTCTCACGGTCATCCAGCAAATCTGACAGACGGAAACTGCTCACAATTTCATTCCAAACGACGGCAAAACGTAGGCGGCTGTTAGCATCAGGAGCCGCACAGTTTGCTGATAGTGGATTATTATTAATAGCAAGTTGACCACGAGCCGCAGCAGACACAATTTTTTCATCGAAAAGACTCGGGGCTTGTTGAAGACGCTTGACAAACTCGTTGATGCGGGCAGAGTGGCCAATCTTAAGACGAAAACCAATCCAAGCTCCTACAATCGATTGTGCAATAGCTAGCCAAATTTGAGAGTCATAGATATACACGAGCACCACCGGTGCCCACATGGCAATCAGAAACGCAATATTATGCTTCGTCTCAAGAATGCCATTTTCCAGCTGCGTAGTCGACAAGTCTACGTTGTAAATCTCGACGCTCGGCCCAATGAGCGGTTTTACCATTAGCTGCAAGTTAAACAAAAACTTACACACAAAAATGACAGTCCAAAACAAGCCATAGTTAAGGAAGTCTCTCCAACTTTGATTCATAGAGCGTCCAATATAATGCTCACGCGTTCCATCCATTGAGCTTAAAAGAGCTGAATTCCAGATAATGCCACGATAGAACATCTGCACAATTGATACGATAACAATAGGTAGCATGTACACCCCAATAAATAGGGGTGCCATCGTGAGCAAATCGCTTGAACCGACAACATTTTCGTATGGGGCTGCGTTCACTGCCGCAAAAATACCAAAAAAGACCGTGTGCCAAACAAGACGTACAAATACCGACACAGTATGCACGACGCGGCTAAAGATGCGCGTGCCATAAATCCAAATGTCAAGCACTACTTTAAGCGCAAGTAAGCCACTAATAGTGACAAAAATCGAGTAAAAAGCATGTTTCCGAACGTCTGTAATATCAGAGGAGAAGAAATTTGCGTAAAACTTAAGACCGTCTGTATCATCAGGATCTGAACGATGAGCCACATAAGCGATCACAATGAGAATATGCAGCATGACAAAAAGAAAAAAATAAATGCGAAAGAAAGCCAGGAACGGGTTGCATACGCTGCGTCGCTCTTTAAATGTCTTGTAATCCCGCACGTTTAAAGCTTGTGCCACGTTAAATTCGTCAAAGTGCAGACAATCGTCTTGCCAAAAAAACTCATTCACATCGTCATAATTGGTCACATTTTTATGGTCGACACTAGCGCCATTTTTCTTTGCCTTCACCTCGCGCATCTCTGCTACTACCAAGTATAATGGGCGCACAATACGTCGTAAGAATGTATCTTCAGGGGCATTCGGTAATCTCTCAATTTCATTCAATTTAGCAGCCATCTTGTGATACAAAAAGCAGAGACATTCGGGCATAAAGCGCAAATTCGCACTTTCTCCCCATATAAGTAAAAACAGCGCAACTTGACGCTCTGCTGCACCAGGATACGACGCTGTTTCAAGTAAATAAGGCTTGGTACGTAAGAATTTGCACCACTTGACATAATTACGAAAGAACTTGAAGTGTATAGTCTCAATAGCATTTTCCGTGTCTATAGGAGTTACGGCAGACTTAAGAAGTCTCGATTCATGATTAAGTACCCAACACTCAAAATGTTCCTTCTGGTTTCGTACGTTACCCTCCTGAAAGCCAAATTTGGCTTGTAGTAGCTTGAATGAGCCAGCGCCAGGTCGTGGTGGGCGATCGACACCAGATGATGACAAGACTGCTGCAACGTGCTGATCATTCGGCGGAGAACTTATGCCAACATGACGTTCTGCCGCTACGTCTAAAACAGTTTGATAGTTCGAAGAAGCACGTCGACGCGGAGGTACCGCGCCCGATGGTTGTCGCTGTAGACCGCGGTCCATAACATTTTCCTTCTTCTTCATTCTTGAAACTTAAACGTGGTCTGGTTCGCTATTTCAGCAGCCGACCCACGGGCGTTTCGGTGGATAGATATGCGACCGCGTACACTAGACAAAATGCGAGCTGAATCTCCTCCGCCTTTTTGCGTGTAGGGAATGTACCAAGAGCTTTTCCGTTTCCCATTCTGTCAGTCTTGCGCCTTAAGCAGATTGTTCGAACAACCTTCAGGGGTAGGGATGAGGTCTTATATAAAAAAGTATAGAGTTTATGGTTTTTTCTTCGAATGTAAAGAAATAGCAAAAAGGAGGTCGACAGATCGAGTGTTGAAGGTTTCGAAGAAAAGGACTGTGTGGTCGTGTTGTAGTGGTGACTTTTAGACCAATGTATTCGTGAAATGCCACCATCGTCCAGGGTTCTGAGGTTCAGTAACATTCTGACTTTCTATTCTTTTCGAAAATTTAGCCCCCAACACATACTACATTATCCGACAGCTGCCTGGTTACTACTTTTTTTGACAATATGTTCTTGTGTGGTAAGTAAATTAAAAGCAATCGATATATTGCCTACTGCTAGCCAAATATTTGTTACAGTAGGGCTCGCCAATTCACATGGTTTAACAAACATACGTTTCGATGCATGAACGGGCCACAATCTCAGGTGCATCAAATCATCGTATCGACGCATCTGTTCATTGGTATCCAGATGAGTTCAATGCCAGTTTTTAAATTTACATTGTAATTATATCAAAAAAGCATGAAAAATTGCAATCATAGTGGTAAGTAAGGACATAGATCGCAGGTGCTTTTGACATTCATGCAGCAGTATTCTCAAATGTCGCTTGATTTAAGCGACTAGTAAATCCAAAGCACGCACGCTAAGCATTGTAGAGTGACATTGTGCTAATTCACTTCAAATAAATATGTAAGCGCGTCTTTGCCACCTAAAATTTTCACTGTCCAATTAACAACTAGAATTGCAGTACTGCGCTCGGAATATTTGAATGAAGGTAAACGTATGTTTTCAATATGTGTATGTTTTTGGTTTTTACTCATTTGAAACTGGCTAGTATAATGGGTTGAGTTATAAGCAATAAATAGGAATATCAGGATAAGTTTGGACTTATCGTGGGTTGCAGAACCAAACGGAATTTGCGAAAATAGCTTTTCAGCAAATTTCTCGTTACATCTGAGCATCTTTTCTTAGATATATGATGTTGATTTGTTTGTAAATTGTACATTAAACTTATAAGTAGATGTCAATCAAATGCTTTATCCATATCAAATGGGTGATGCAATGGAAACGGCTGGTAGAATCTTTATGTATGCATATGCTTACCATGTCTGAAGAATTGACGATATCTGTTCATGAATTGCATCTACACAATAGTAACATGAACGGAAAGAAGTTGTGCTTGTAGCAAAAATACGAAGCAATGAACTTTACGAAAATTGTCACACGGTTCACTAAAGAGTCACGTACCCTGTCGTATATGACCCCGATGACATTCGAATACATGATATATCAATTTATCGAGACGGTTACTATAGAGCATTTGAAAGAGGTAAAACGCTTTCCTTGACTTGCCTTTTTCGTCAAAAACTGAAACCTTTTATGGATTATTGCAGAAAGTATCGTGGTCGGTGTCAATCTGCGCTTTTCTGAAGCAGTCATTAATCCCATTTCAGTTTATTATTTAAGATTATGAGCAGACCTAAAATAGAGTGCAGACGTCAGTAGTTGTTTTGATCGACTTAAACACTTCGAGTTGAAAACAATTTCGGACGCATAATGGGCTGGTGGGAAGACAAACACAAGTTAAGATTGCACTTTCTTCCGCTGCATAGATGTCATTGGCGTTGTCGACTTGAAAAATTTGGTTACGATATTTGCTGGTTGGATTTTTTCAATAAAAAGTCAGCGATTAGTATTGCAACTAGTCTTGGTTGCCCTCGCGCCAAAATATGTTGACCTCCATGTATACTACGTGAACATAGAACTGGAGCATGTATTGACATCTGATCAACTTGCGGATCGCATACTTATGCTACAGTGTAGGTTTTGGGCCGAAAAGCCATGTTGCACTCAAAGCAACGTCCTGAAAAACCACTGAGCGAGAAACCATCTAGAAGATCGCCTCAAAGGTCATTGCATCCAACCTTGACCCGCATTCCACAACGGCGATCACGAAATTTGCCACGCGTCACCGTCACCTCAAAGGCTTCCTCTTGTTTCGACGCTTTTGGAGCGGATCATACTCCCGTCTGAGATATATGCTGTCCTCATTAGATCCACGCTCCGCGGGCTTCAATAATTTTCACGGTTTTGTCGTACTCAGCCGACAGACTGCCGAGTAAAATAACCAAACGCATATTGTCCTTGACCTCGTCACCGACAACAGCAAGACGCAAGGAAACATCATCAAATTTCAGCAGATGCTTCATAATATTGTCAGGGGCCATCACAACTCATGTTCTTGCTTGCACAGCTGAACACGATTGTGGAGGCTTCGTTTGACGTAGATCTCGCGCAAAATCGCCGCTCCTTCGCAGCAGACGACGCACCACGAATCGTCAATTGGATAGTAGGACTCAACAATCTTGTAATGCCTTAAGGTCTGCGGTTTTTCACTCGGCAGTTGCTGATCCAAAGCGTTCTAGGGCTTTATCTTGAGATGATGGAGCAACTCCTTCTGTGCCAGAGTCATGCCAGCAGCAAATTCCGACAGAAAGTATTTGTCATCCTTGAGGATGTCGGTGAGACATGTCGTGAGCAAAGTTGGGCTTATACCCTGAAGACTAAGTGAAGAGGACACTAATGAGAACGCTGCATAAATTAAAGTGAAATTTTTGGGCTTACACAAATGCATAGATCACCGATGGCTTTGGTAGCAATTTATCACTGATCAGTCAAGTCAAATGCGTTTCAGAGCTTCCAGACGTGCTACAGCGTTCCTGATTGAGCCAGACGCATCAGATTAACGCCGAAGCAACAGTTACCGCTTGCACAGCTGAACACAATTCTAGAGATTTCGTTTGACGTAGAGCTCGCACAAAATCGCCCGCGGCTTCGCAGCAGACGACGCATCACGAATCTTCGATTGGACAGTAGTACTCAACTATCTCGTAATGCCTTAAGGTCTGCGGTTTTTTACTCGGCAGTTGCTGATCCAAAGCGTTCTAGGGCTTTGTCTCAAGTGATATAGCAACTCCTTCTGTGCCAGAGTCATGCGGGCAGCAAATTCCGACAAAAAGAATTTGTCATCCTTGAGGATGTCGTTGAGCCATGTCGTGAGCGAAGTTGGGCTTATACCCTGAAGACTAAGTAAAAAGACCGTACTTATACAGGATCATTTCTATAGTACCTTCTTTTCTACTTGACTGAAGACCAAGTAAAGAGGACACTGATGAGAACGTCGCAAAAATGCAAGTGTGATTTTTGGGCTTACATAAATGCATAGATCACCGATGACTTTAGTAGCCATTTAACACTGACTAGTGCTTCGCCACCATCATTTTAGAATATGACTTAAGCTTATGATTGCTGACCGTCTCTTGCCTGGCAACGGATACCCGAGCTGTCCCTACATTTTGGCGTTATAAACAACAGACAGAGTAGTGTTGTATGTCGCGTTGAAACGATGGGAATAGCTCTAAGTTTTTGAGCGCAAAACAAGGAAAAAGAATATGACGTATACCTTTGTATTTTCGGTATCTGGTGGTGAGAATTGCAAGAAGGTGTGGTTCTTTGGACAGTGACGTGAGTTCGGATACGACCATCGGGCGAGATAATTTCAAAACAGTCCGTTTATTTGTCAATGGGATGAACGTTTTGTTTACTAGTTGCTCGGTGGTGAAGGGAGGAGTTATTGCGAGCGGAGTCGGCGTAAACAAATTAGTGCGCCGAAGTTGGCGTCGATATGTCGTGAGAGTAATGCTAATGCATACTCGAAAAATGTCTCAATTATAGATGCCACTCTGTGGCATCCTCGCCCTGCCATGCAAGTCAAGATCGGTTTATATCAATGTCTATTGCGAGTAATATTGCCAACCTCGAGGCCATGTCGACCTCATTGCGTGCGATAGTTGCGCATGTGGAAAATTGTTTGCTGCAAAATTTTCGCGGACATCCAGCAGTCTCGTTAAGACTTAGGCCTCATTGGAGATTGTCCATATCAATTTGATGGGACCCATGCACGAAGTTTCGCTCCACACGTCTGGTTCTTGGTCAATACTTAACTCGCTACGTCCAAGTGTACTTAATTAAAGCCAAAGGTGAAGTTTTACCTCGCCTTAAGGATTAAAAGTCTTTCACAAAAGGTCAAATTGTGGCCGAGATCTGATGCATCCGGATGGTGACTTTCACATCAAGAAGTTCTGTAGCTTCTGCTTAATTATGCATCAAACCAAAATACCCTATAGTTTCCTGCAGAACGGCGTGGCAGACAGGGTAAACGACTGATTGTCGAAACGGCTCGCTCTGTGCTATTTTAGCAACTTCTACCAAAGATGTGGTGGGCGAAGCGGTTGTGACCGCAGCGCACACACTAAAAGGTTTGCCAAATACTGCACGCAAGGATGCCACGCCTTATGCGATATGAGATGCTATTTGGAAACAAGCCTTCTGATTGGCACATGCGCATCTTTGGGTTACGATATTACGTGTATGTTGACTCCTCCAAGTCTCGGAAGTTTGATGCAAAAGCCCATCACTGCAGTTTCATGATGATTGCAGATGGCTCAAAAGGTCGATAGTATTGGGGTCGTGAGGAAATATGCGTGCTTGTGTATCGCACCTATTCTTTGAATGAGCGTCCTGTATAAGTGTTTGATCCCGTCGCGGTGATGGCCTCTGATGAATTTAAGGGATCGGTCTTTGATGATTACAGCGATGTCCCAGCGCCAAAGTCAAGAAGGCCAAAGATGAAAGGCATGAAGATAGGCGAGGAGCAAAGTGGCGATTTCACCCGCAGAACCAATGAAAGTATCTATTCCAACCTTGACATTTCAAGAGACAAGTACGTTCATCACTCGGTTTCGCGCTTCGACAATCCAAACGTTTGTGATCTTCCACGAAATTGGCCAAGGGGAAGAAGACCATAACGTTTTCGGTTCGGTGACCAAGGCTCCAAAACCCGCGGTCGATCTCTCGTGTACCTGCTTTATTGTCAATTTGTGCGGAAGATCACATTATCATTTTGCGGCGCCAAACTCCAAGTGCTTGCGGTTGACTGACGGATCCGAGAATGTTCTTACTGCAATGGTAATTCCGTACGTATCAAGAAGCCATGGCATCACCACAAGCGTCAGGATGGAAGGAGGCGATGCGTCGCGACATATCATACACAGGATGCTGTACAGCGCACTAGCAGTGCCAAAGTTATGATACAACTAGGTATTTGATAAAGAACGCGACGCGGATGGCAACATTGTGCGATACGGAGCGCGCTTCGTGGCCAAAGACTTTCGACAAGCGTATGGTGTTGACTCCCGGGAAACCTACTCGCCAGTCGCGAGTCTCAACGCCATTAGGAACTTTCTGACTCTGTGTTGCCAGCGAAACTACGTGGCCCGCCAAATATATGTCGAGGCTGCTTTTGTAGATGACATGTTCTAGGGAGACGCGTTCATAAATTCACTCGAAAACATGTTGCCGAACGGTGTGATGTGTAGCTCCACTAGAGCATTTATCATCCCACGGAAGCAGCAGCAGTTTGGTCCAGAACAAGGATCATTTCGATGGGTTTCGTGGCTTGTGTATCTGTTCCGTGTGTGTTTGATCATAAGCGAGGTGTGCATGCGGCGTACCTTTTTCTACACGTGAATGATCTTCTGATTGGGTGCGCGCGATGGATGAGATCATGTTGGGATTTTCCAAACATTGCAAGCTTGAAGACTTGAGTAAAGTACAACTGAGAGCATAGCAAGCTGAACATCTACCAATCTCAATTTATTGAACGATTCATGAGTAAGTCTGGCCATGAGTCTACACAATCGTGCCGAAACGTCAGCGTGGTTGGCCAAAAGCTGTTCTTTGAAACCCAACGGATGGATGGCCGACAATATCGTGAACATTTGGGTGCTCTTTTGCATCCGGACGTCTGCGTCTCTATGTGTGAGCTAGCTTAATAGCTCCATATGAAGCACACATGAAGGCTCGGTTTATGTACTAGGTTACTTGATGGGAACTCCTCGGCCTGGCATCGTAAAAATATGAGACGATAAGAAGATATTTCCACCCGACGGTCTATGCTGACGTAAATTTGGTTAGTTATATGGAGACGCGGACTACTCACGTTCGAGTCGAATTACCTCAGCAATGGCTGAATATATGGCTCGATCATTGGCAGTTTAAGAATTAACGTGGGTCTGACACTGAAAAACTTCTTACAAATCACTCGATAACGTTGCAGCTATTGTTATGGCATCGGATGCTGGATATCAATCTCGCACGACGCAGAGCGATCTGCGATACCATCTTTTTCGAGATGCTGCGAGAAACATTACCTGTCATCGTGTGGCCAGCTTGCCAACTACATGAACAAGTCACTCATCATGTTCCGATTCACAGAGCTCGTTATACACAGTGGCGGTCGTGACAACTTAGCGATGTCAGCTTGAGGGGAGTGTAAGGAAGGTGGTTACAAACGCCATCTGAATAGCCGACCCATCTCCACTGATATGCAAGAGACGGTCAGCAATTCTGGGCCAGTGTGAGGTTCTGATAGATCTCTCTTCAACTCCGGAATTAAATACCTTGTTGTTCCACTTGTGTGACGACGAAGCGTTGGTTTCGCCGAAGTTGCAGTTGGGGTCTTGAAGTTAACTACCCCGTCGACCGTAAGTCGCAAGTAATGTGGGGTTTCGACCACGTGTGAAAGTAGTGTGCTAGAAGAGTAGTGACCAAGCACTGGGGTGTTGGCTGATGCGCATTAACTTGATTTCTTAGGTTTGAACGTGAAGTCGAAGCAGTTGACACTTGTGCGGATAGCTTGGAACTGGTGTTGAACCCGATGTTTGTCTTGTTAATGTTCAGTTGATAGGCGTAAGTGCATTGGGCGCAGAAGCCAACTTGCCACAGGAGCAGTACTTGAGCTTGATACTGAGCTGACTGATACTAATTAGCGATCGAAGTGTTGACGTTAAGATTGTTTGTGTCAATAGTGCAGATTGTTAGTAACTCGAACCTGTGCAAAGTGTGATGTTGAAGGAGTGACCCTTGAGTTATGCCTTTAATTCGCGCTATGTGTAGAAGCAGGAATACGACCTAGAAGCGTGAATGGTGCATTGGCTTGTAAAAGTCGTTTTTGGATCAACATGCCATCTTGAATAGTTAGACCTCACTTCGGATAGCCGTGGATATGCGTTAGACTTGATATCGTGAGACTAACCGTGGTTTTTAAGTCGTTTGCACTTGTGTGGGTGGCATAGAGACCTAATTTAATATCGTGATCATCTTGCTTAGCGTTCGACTTGAAAGGACTCAGTACACTGGGGCGTGGTAGTCCGAATTGGCTGTGTGGACAGCAGTACTTGGTTTTGAAATTTGATTTCATAGCCGTCTTTGTCGTGTCGAGTCGTGTAGAGGGTAAAGCAAAAATCTTTGGTGAAGGACGCCTGAGAACGTCGGGAGTGGGATGTATGAAATTTAAAATTTATGTGTCATGATCAATAAGTTCTCACCCTTAATTACTTCTTGTAGTTGGTGCGTAGGATGACAGGTTGTACACGACTTCTTGCCTGCAGCCTTGTGCTGCATGTATTGCCTTGCCCAACATGAAGACTTTGATCGGTGCAGCCTCTTAGGGTTGGTTGCTCGAAGCTGCAGCGAGCAATGGAGAGAGTCGGCGCAAAGTTGAATTGTTGTACAATGCGGAGAACCTCTTTTGGAAGCCGACCTGTAGCGCGGTCGGTGAATACGGGGGGGGGGCGTCCCATAAGCTCCCTTATTCAACTTGGATCCGAGCTTGCTCGTCTTTGTTTAGTTATAACCCCGTCAGGCCTGACCTTTCTAGCAGCTGTTCTGCCTGTCCACCCGGGAAACCGGTGTGACGGGCTCAATTCCCGTAGCTGTTAAACGTTGACGTTTCTGTTGACGGTATGGTTTTATTTGTAGATGTTATAGAAGTAGTTGTAGTTGTAGCTGCATGTGCCGTCGTGAAGTTATCCATTGTTCCATAATGGAGTGCTGAACGACTGAAGCGGTTTTAGTTGACGTCACAAATGCATTATGTTGCGCGTGACGACTATTTTCCACTTCATGTACCACTTGTATCCATGAAAGTTTGCCTTTTTAAGTTGCACGTGATTGAAACTGCGTAAAGTGCAGCTTGATGTATGCAAAGGCATGTTGACATACTAAGTCTCGAGAAGTCGAAACATCAATGTTGTAAACTCGTTTGTTTCGATGAAGCCATACTGCGCGAAACCCACAACATCTCACAATAGTAATGCTTGCACAAAATGCGTAAGCTCTATAGTGTTGTATAGTAGTATGTTGAAGTCGAATAGAGTGGGGGAAGACAATCATAGACGAGTCGAAAGCTCCAATATTGAACTTGTCAAAAGGTCGAAGAAAGACTTTCCATTGATGTATTGCCACTCTGCAAGCCTAAGAAACATGCTGGGCACCTTCAAACTTTGTGCATCCATGTACACATGTATTGCTCGATATGACTTCCGTTCTCCATCGAAACTTGTATCGAAATCCTAATTCATTGTGTTGAAGACGGAGCTTAAGATTGGAGCATAGTGAGAATACATGACGATCCAATCTGTACTCAAAACGCCATATATCGTCCGTGAGAGTAAGCCGGAAATCTGAAGCTTGTCAGCTTGAAGCTTTGGAAGCGTTGTACCCAACTTAGTATCCAACAATAGTTTAACAAAGTCCCGGTTGGACATGTCTATGACCATTTTGGCTTCAAACCCCAGCCACGAGTAGCACATTTAATGTAAATGGGACGAGTTGGCCCATATATATATATCTATGCGTGGGGGGCAGATCATGTTGAGTCGCAATTTGTGTCGAACACAAACGTGATTTTGATGCAGGTCTGGCAAATTGATCCACGTGAAGTAGACTGTTTAGTATATCTTGTGTCGCAAAGCATCCATAGCGTTCGACAAAGTCTTGTAGGCGGGTAAACCCTAATGTTTCAGAAAGCCAATAGTGCTTTTACTGACTTTGGCCAATGGGGGTTTTAGCCTTGCCAAACGTAAAGTAGACATTGTATCATAAAGGCATGACCTGAACAAACCGTTTCCAGTCCGTGGAGCCGTGAGTAGTGTGCAGTTCCGCCCATACACGTAGAGTAGATTTCCACAGCCAGGCAATTCATTCCATTTCTATCCCTTCATATCTGCATATAAAATATAGAAGTTTGTACCAAGGAGCCTAATGTTCTTGTAAAGAGTTGAAGTGCCGGAGTAAACCAACTGGGCACATCACTTAATTCACAAGTCGACGCAATTCCTTCTCTTCATGTCTTGAGGTGAATAGCATGGATAAAGGCTTTGACAGGTGTCAATTCTAATCCACCCTTCGAAACACATGTGTAAATCCATATTTTAGCGAATTTCCCGGCAACTGTGGAGTCACTATCCGTATCCCTGGAGTGAGCAAAGTTGTGGATGATGATGTCCACAGTTTTTAGAAGATTCGGGGTAATAGACGTCACTCTGACTGTGTACCAAAGTAGTGGTAAATGATGCTTTGTAATAGCACCACTTTGCCCTGTAATTTACGTGCACGGTATTTCCAGATGGCGTATCGTCTTCATAATTTACTAACCACATCGCAAATCGTTGTTTGGTTGCCACAGTCGCACCCTTAAGTAAACCTAATAGTACCACAGTGTCCGACGGTTGTAAAAATTTAGGATCCGTTGAAGCATGTAGACTTGCCAATTATGACAAATCGAATTGGTGCGTAAACGGCATGAGGCACGTTTTATTCATGTTTAGGCGTAGTTCTGATGCTAACGCGTAATCTTGTACCACATCCAAGACTTCAGGTGCGTAATCAACATCGGCTAGTAGACCGGTGCAGGCTTCTGCAAAAGCTAGTAGCAAATGTGGGTAGACCCATTGTCAATATCGAATCCTCGCATCGAAATTCGAGCGCGTAAGTAATTTATGAGTGGCTCGATGAATAACACAAACAGTCCCGGAGATAGTGGGTCACCTTGTCGTTTCCTGGCCCTCAATAGAAAGGGATCTTCTGGTGAACTGTTCAACAGCAAACTAATAGAAGTCGGTTGTAGAATGTTTTGATCCAGGCTCGAAAGGTCGTGCAAAATCCGAAGTGATGCAGAACCATGTCCAACGCTGGCCATAGTACAGTATCGAAGGCCTTGGCAAAATCGATAAAAACAGCTCAAGCGTCCGAGTAAGTGTGGTTGCATAATTCTTGTAAGTATTGGAAGCGAAAAGAGAGTGACGGATGGATCTATTAGGTACAAACCCAATTTGATCTTCATGTATCAGCAAAGAAAGCACCAGTACCAGCCTCCGCGCCAGAATCTTGGGACCATGCTTAGCATCATGGATCAGCAGCGCCAATGGACGGTAGTTCCAGGCTGCAAACTATCTCAAGTCTTGTATAGCAGAGGTTGGCGCGCCCGTCGTTGAACTTAGTCATCTTTCCCTTTGATAACTGATTGTCGTGTATAGCCTCGTATATGCGAGCCCACAGGCTTGGCGAAATTTTGTAGTACTCAATCTGTGATCCGTCGGGGCCCGGCGCTTTTCCATCGGACGATTTCATGATCGCCCAGTATAAGTCGTTTGCCGTGATGGCATCAAGCAGACGCTGTTGTGCTGGCGTAAGGTTTGCCACTGTTTGACGAAGCATTTGCGCTAAGCGAAGTAGCTGATATGAGGCATCCCGAAGATGACGAAGTCGATTGGAATAGGTGCTTCTAAAACCAAGGACAATTCCAACAGGGTCGTCGCTCGTCGACCCATCGCCACGTTGAATTTCGGTGATGGTAGACCTGAGACAGTCGGCCGAAAAAGTGATGTGTTGCTCGCTCACTAAGGTGTAAGTTGGCTGCGAAATTGCTCATTGCATTTCTTTCTTGAATCGTCTTCTTGTATGCACTTAGATCGGCTTGTGCTTGTCGTAGTACTTGCTTGTTGCAGTCGATCAGAGTCATCTTGAACAGATCGATAGCATCGTTCACCGCGGCGACTCTTATGGCCATTTCCCGCGCTTCAGCTTGTCGAGGCTCAACACATCGACTGCGAAGAGAAATGCAATCGGAACGCTTGTGCTCATCCAGAAGACACTCTGGGTTAGCGCCTTCAAAATTACGAATACATGCCGCCAGTCGCTCCGCCGACGAAGTAACG